TCAGCAGGAAACTATATAAGGTAAGCCAACATGGCAACGGTGGTGTACTCCTTGCCGCAATGCTACATCAAGTTAGCATGCCTGCTCATTTCACATGCGAAAAGTAAGTCAGTCATAGCCCCATGTAGAAGTCATAAACATATAGTAGCTTGCTTAATTCTAAAGGGGGTTGAAACTCACAAAACATTTCCTGGTCATATTTTGCCTCAGAAATAAGATATTATATTTTACAAAATGCCATTAAAGTCAGTTTTCAAGACTTTTGCATTGTGGCATTATTTTCATGGTAATTAGAATTTCTATCAACAGTCTCATTACCGTAAAAAGAAATAAGATATTATATTTTACAAAATGACATTAAAGTCCATTTTCAAGACTATTGCATTGTGGCATTAATTTCATGGCAATTAGAATTTCTATCAAAAGTCTCATTACCGTAAAAAATTATGTAAAAAAAAAAAAAAGTAATTCCTGTAATGAGATGTTTTACTTACAACAGATTATTTTGTAGTTCCCCTTACTGTATTATTAAACATTTTTTAATAAAATCATATACAATATATAACAATGAGATATAAATACTTTACCATTTAAATAATATATTGTTTTGTTTTTTTGCATTACAGCAAGGATAATTTGGAGAGAAAATATGCTTAAATTTTCTGAAAATAAATCTAGCGTAGCGTTAGTTCTGGCAGGTCACGTTAATGGGCAAATTTGGCCAGGATGCCGAGGTCACACCTCTACTCTTTTCGAAAGACATCCTGTGATTTTTAATGACCACAGAGAGTCAGGACCTCGGTTTAACGTCTCATCCGAAGGATGGTGCTTGTTGACAGTATAGTGTCCCCATCACTATATTGGGGCGTTAGGACCCACACAGACCACAGGGTGAGCACCCCCTGCTGGCCTCACTAACACCTCTTCCAGCAGCAACCTAGTTTTCCAAGGAGGTCTCCCATCCAGGTACTGACCAGGCTCAGCCCTGCTTAGCTTCAGTGGGTAGCCAGTCTTGGGCTACAGGGTGATACGGCTGCCGGCATAACATGTACATAACATTATTGAACTTTAACGATATCTGCAATACATTTATGTTGGTTCTGTTCTGTTTACCCTGGGGGGGTTATCGCTGCTCTTCTTGCTCTTATTCATGCTAGGCTGCATGGATGCGCAGGGAGTTCTTGCCCAGAACAGAACCATACCGCCAATCCAAACTGTATGCTAATTGTCAATCATCTTTGACGATAGTGGTCCTGACAGAACTGCCAATAAAAATGCCAATATCATATTAATGCCAAAAGTAGACTTTACTTAAGCACAATATATTTTCTTATTTTTTTATTTTGATTTTGGTGTGAAAAAATGTTTTGCTCTTTAAATATTTTATGAGATTTACCCTTATGTCGGGGGGGAATGATCAAATTAAATTACAACTGCTGTTGGTGAAAGAAATCTTCAGTGAAACATACATGCAACAAAAAATACAATATGAATAATTAAATTATGCTTATTTTAGACCTTTTATATATTTGATGGCTAATTAAGTTGAACTGAAGTGTTCAGATCTCTTATTATGTAATTATCAGCTTCGAGATGGGACCACTGGTTTTGAAAATTACTATAACATTAAATAAAGACATACTCCTCTCTTGATAAAGTAAGTAAAATCTTCACACACGCACCTGTCTGCACCTGAGACGTAGTGCTCTTCACTCTCCCACAGCCATGAGCCAGTGAGTAGACAGACACATTATAAATCTGACCACACTGCAGTTCCTGTAGATCACAGGAGGCAGCGGTGGTGTTACAAGAGTAGGAATAACCATTGTTAGACTCAGCCACAGCCGTGTAAGACTCCGCCCCGTTTGCTTGCACCCACGACACAGACACAACACCACCATTGCTGATGTCGCAATGCAAAGACGTCTGAACATTGCTAGGTGCACATGGAGCTGAAAGAGAGCATGAACAGGAGTCATTAGTGTTGATAATCATACACCTGCATGGTAATTTTGTTTCTTTACAACAGATTAGAATACCCCACGTTCGACTTGAATCAGATACAGGATTTAATCTTGGCTTCTCTGTCATCAGGTGCACAAGAGAATCAGCAGACTCACCTGACTGCAGAAAGAGGTGCATGTTGCTATTGTCACATACTCCATCCAAGGCAGTGACGGTAATGTTATAGCTCTGGCCACAGTGTATGCCAGATAATGTACAACTGTGGTCGGAGCTGGAGCAGTCGATGCGATGTCCATCAGAACCAGTAGCCTGGACTGTGTGACGCTTAATGTTATCACTGAGCTCCCAACTTACAACTGCAGAGTTGGTGTCACAGTTGAGCTGGGCGCTAGCATTCTGTGGCTTACAGGACACTGAAGTGAAATGAAATATTAACAATTATCATAATTAGCAAGATTATTAACTTTAGTACTTGAAACTTAAAAATCAGTACTAACACTAGTAACAGTGAGAATGTTTCAGTTATTTTGGGAAGCACATTTCTAAAATGAAGAACAGTAAAACATCCTTGTTTTAGAGGGCTGTCATTTAATTGCTATGAATTTAATAAAATATCAATATATGCATTGTTTTATTTTATTGCGCAGTGTCTAGATGTTTGTTGCCTATATTAAGAACAAAAAAAATGAAACAAAGACATATGTATCATTGCACTATAATACACTGGGGGGGGGGGGGGGGATATTAAGCAAGGATGCATTAAATTGATCAAAAGTGACAAAAACTTTTATAATGTTTCATAAAAATGTAATTTCAAATGAATGCAGTTCTTTCAAACTTTCTGTTCATCAAATAATCATAAGAAAGAACACGGTTTACACATTAGAATGATTTCTGATGGATCATGTGGCACTGAAGACTGCAGTAATTGCAGTTTTGCCATCACAGGAATAAATTACATTTTAAAATGTTAAAATCGAAAACAGTTATTTTACATTTTAATAATATTTCTGATTTACTGTATTTTTGATCAAGTAAACGCAAGGCATAAAAGACTTCTTTCTAAAGCATAAAGTAGTACTGACCCCAAACTGCTGAACTGTATTTATGGTGGATGTTATTTTAATGTTTTTCAGGTACCTGTACTCAGCACAACTGGTTGACTCTGTGCAGTGTTGCATGTCCCGTCAGTGGCGCTGACAGCTAGACTATAGTTCATCCCACAGAGCAGATCTGAGAAGACACATGCTGTTCCGGTGCTGTTGCACACTGAAGCGTAGCCACCACTAGTCTGAGCAACCGCAGCATAGGAAATGGCCCCCATGCTTGGGTCCCAGGATACAGATAGATCTCCAGTCGTACAGTTTACACTGCCCTGCACATGACTAGGTACACACGGCACTGCAAAGAAACAAGGTTGGAGAAAGACTAAATTAGTAATTAGTTTTCTATCTTACATCTGTTGGCATGCTTAATTGTAATTAATCTTTTTTTTCAAACAGAGATAAAAGTAGAGAGCAGACTATACATAGACTATACCGGTGTTTATTCGTAAGATGGAACTTCCTGATGTGTTGCATTGCTGGTTGACTGCAATGACGCTGACATTGTACGAGGAGCTGCAATGCAGTGTTTGCAGTCTGCACTGCTGTGCAGTTGTGTTACAGGCAGTCACTGGACCCTCAGGTCCATTGGCAACCACAAGGTAAGACGCCGCCCCATGGCTAATGTTCCACCTTATAGTTATAAAGTTAAACGAACAGTCCAGCTCAGACACCACATTCTGAGGAACACATGGAACTAGAGGAGAAGAGAACAGGAAAAGCATTTGAGATCTGCGATATGGGTCATTTTCAACAGACTATATAAAGAGTCAAGCCATCAGTGTTTCTGTATTACCTGATGACAGGTAAGCAGGTGAACTCAGTACACTTCTGCATTGCCTGTTAATTGCTCTGACTGTGATCTGGTACTGTTGACCACAGAGCAGCTCTGATAGGAAGCCACTGGTGATGTTGGTACTGAATGCCAATGGTTTCCCATCTCCACTCACTGCTGTCACCTCATATGTCTCAGCTCCTGCACTGGAAGCCCAGCTCAGAGTACCCACCCCTGTGCCACAGTCCAGGATGGGCAGCAAAGCTTGAGGAACACATGGGGCTAACGAACCAGAAAACAGCACAGCATTAAAAACTCCCGAGGTTTGTGTTTACATGCATAAACAAGGAAAATGTCATGGTATTGTGAAAAATTATAACATTTAAAAATAATAATATTTAAATTGGATTGAACTTGAGTAAATGCGTTTAATAATAATTTAGTCATTTATAATCATTAGAAATTTCATATTTTTGTCTCATGATGAGGAATATATTCAAATATATTGTCTTGTTTTCCAACACAGTTTGGTGTGCTTTGCTCATGTGACTTTCATTTTGCTTCATGTCATGTCTTTTACTTTAGAAGTTTTATCCTGTGAAGCAAACTTGTTTTTAGAGAATATATCTTGAATATATAAGTATAGTTTGTGTGGTTTAAATTAGCAGTTTTGTTACACTTCTTGTTGGGTTTTATATAGTTATTAAAAAATTGTGCACCCTGTTCAGAACTTATTAAACTTTTCTTAGTCATTTTTACGAATATTTTTAATCAGCTGATCCCCCTCAAGTTCATACAGCATCCAAATACTTTTTATCTTAATTTTACATATATACAACATAGATAAGTGCAAGTGTCAAGTGAATCATCGTGCAAGTGTGAAGTGTCACTCTATCATTAGAGTGTCTGGTCTTACCCATATGTATGGTGGTGCTGTTGCTGCGTGCACTCGTGCAGCGGCTGTCATTGGCAGTGACCGTAACGTTATAGATTTCACCGCAGTGCAGGTCCTCCCAGGTGCAGCTGGTCCCATTAGTAACACACAGATGTGTGTGTCCATCCTCACCCACTGCTGTGGCAGTGTACATGTTCGCCCCATCGCTTGGGCCCCAGCTGACAGAACCCAACTGGTTGTCACACTCCACATATGTCACCAGATTGAGGGGTGTGCAGGGCGCTGGATCACCACACACATTACAAAGGCAAGTAAATTAATTTCCTACCATACTCCCTCAAATAACAGAGATCAGCATGAATTATTTGCAATAAATTCTCTTATAATAACAGGAAATTACATACTGCCTTTGTGTGTTAAAGGTTGTGGATTTTTGTTTAATGCACAGCAGGTTTATGTCTAATTTCAGATACATACCTAGTCTGAAAACTGCAGGAGTGCTCAGTGGGCTCTCACAGTAATCGTTATGCGCTTGGACAGTCATGTTGTAACTTAGTCCACAGAACAGTGAAACAGACAAGTTAGTAGAAGTAGTGTTGAAGTCTACAATATATCCCAGACTCCCTGTTGCCATCACAGTGTAGAATGACGCCCCTTTGGCTTTTGACCAGTTGAGCGCTGCCGTCTCACTGTCACATGAAACATGAGCAGTCACGTTCTGTGGTTTGCAAGGATCTGGAGAAGTGCAGGGGGACTGTTACATTGTAGCATTGTACAAAGTTATTTAAATAAATAAAACATTAGTTGTAAAAAATAAAGATATTAACAATAAAAGTAAATATACAAACATTATTGTTATTTTTAATATTATTTTACTTTTAATAATAACAATAATAAATTAAAATATTAATTATAAAAATATTTTTATTAAAAGTAAAAAAATATTAACAATAACAAAATAAATATACAAATGTATTATAATTTGTAATAATAAAAATACTGGGTAATAAGGCACAGAGAGTGAGAAAGGGTGTGGCTAAAATATTAACAATAAAATACAAAAATAAATATATAAACATTATATCTGTAATACTATATTATAATTATTAATAACAATAAATACATAAAATGTTCATTATAAAAATAAAAATATATACAACCATTATTAATATTTTAATATCTGTAATGATCTGTTGTAATAATAATAATTTTTATATATTATTATTAATAATAACAACAATAATAGTAACAATAATAATAAATTAATTATAAAAACAAAATATTAACAAATTAAATAAATATACATAAAAATATATATTTTTAATAAATTGTTATTAAAATACATGATTATGATTAATAATAATAATACTCATTTTCTGATTAAAGACCCAAGATGAGATATCAGAATTTTTATTACTCTGTATAATGCTGTACCTGTAGTGAGGTATACAGGTGCACTGGCGTCGCTTTGGCAGTGGCCTCTGTGGGCGGTGACAGTGAAAGTGTAGGTCTCTCCACAGCTCAGAGTAGAGAAGGAACAAACAGAGTTGGTGGAGTTACAGAGCTGGTATCCTCCTTCTGCACTGACGGCTCGGGCGATGTAGTAATCAGCGCCTTCTCTCACTTCCCAAGACATCACAGACATTTTGTTACCGCACAGTTTATTGACTTCTGGCTGCAGTGGTGCACAGGGTCCTGCAGGGTGGTCACAGAAAGGTTGTACCCTAATTAGTGTGCTTCAAATTTTAACCCCTTCTACACATAATGCTTTGTAAACTCACTGGACTGAAACGTGACATTGGTGGTGGAGGTCATTTGGCACTGCTGGTTTGTAGAGGCGAAGGTGAGGTTAAATTGCTGATCACACTGCAGGGAGGAGATGTTACAGTGGTTCTGACTGGTTGAGCAGGAGACTGTTTGACCTTCTGACCCCAAAGCGGTCACGGAGTAATTCTCCGCCCCAGCAATGGAACTCCAGGACACTAGAACTGAATCTGTAGCACAGTCCACCAGAGCAGACACACTGGTGGACAGACATGGTGCTGAAAAATACAGAAGAAGCATATTTATTAACTATGATGTATCCTTTTTGCTAGCACATACACTTCTGGTCAAAAGTTTGGAAAATTATGATTTTATATTCTGGTGATGGCAAAGCTGATGGCTGCTTCAGAATCCTTTAGAAATTATTTAAATATGTGCAATTTATGTGCAAAATATTTAAATAAATGTGCAATGAATCGTGCAAAAAAGGCCAGAAACATGGTCAGTTCTGGTTTAATTTCGGCCTTTGGTACTAGAGGAATTTGCTGTAACGGGAAAAATATTTTTGTGCAGTTACAATATTGTTTGTTTTTATTTGTTTTTTACTGACCTGATGTCATGTTGACCCCTATGCTGTCAGAGCTGTTGAACACCTCACCGATGGCACGGACTCTGACATAGTACACTGTTCCACAGGTGAGATCAAATAAACTGCAGTATGTATGATTTGTCCGACAGGAAGTGGAATGACCATTTCTGCCTTCCAGGAATGCAGCGTATCCCACTGCCAAATGGCTAGGCTCCCAGGAAACAGTAGCACTGTGGGTGGCGCAGTTTAGGCTAGCTTTGACATTCTGAGGAGGACAGGGTTCTGCAATGACATGAAGTAAATGACACTGATTCAAGACGAACATCATGCAGGTTTGGAATGACATGAGGGTGAGTAAATAATGACAGAATGTTAATTTTGTGTGAATATTCCTTTAAAATCAGTGGTCACATGACTGACCTGTCTTGATAGGATCAGAGGCCACAGTGTCACTGCAGACACTGTTGTGAGCCGTCACACTGACGTTGTAGATCTGACCACAACCCAGGTCTGGGAAGGTGCAGCTCGTGTTAGAGGTCTCACAGGTCACCATCAGGCCCTCGAGGGTCACAGCCTCTGCTGTGAAGTTGGCACCACCTTTAGTGACATCCCAGGAGAGCAGAGCGGTGGAAGGACTGTACTGCACTGTCAGATGCTGAGGAACACACGGACCTGCAATGGTATGATAACCATTTAATTTTAAGAATTGATGTACAAGATACATATTATATCCAAAAAAAGTGTAAAATAATGTATAATTTTCCTAGATAAAATCTAGAAAGAAAAAAGATATACAGGTGCATCTCAATAAATTAGAAATTTATTTAATGTAATAATTATATTTATTAATTTCTTTAAAAAAAATCATACTGACCCCAAACCTTTGAACAGTAGTGTATCATGAAAATGTTTTAAAATGTGCAGGACATACTACAGACCATAGTAGTCTGGGTGCTGAATCCCACAATGCAAAGCACTCAACTTTGTCCAGACAAACTCAACTCATTTGATTGATTTGCAAAGACATTTTTTTACACAAAATTGGAGATTTTATGCAAAATGAACCTATTTATTTTCACCTGAATGCCACTCACTAAATTAAACCTGCACTACAAAGTAATCAAGTCATGTGACAAGAAAGTAGCATTGTTTAAAACTTGTAAAAATGTTGCATAATCTGTTTTACATACCATTTCTTAAAAATAGTAAGATATATACAGTATATACTGCACATTATGCAGTGAACATAGCAATTAATTTAGCAGACAGTCTCTATGGGAACAAGATTGAGAAGTATAGAGTATATAGACAAGTATATGCATGTATGTGTTTCTATGTACCTGAGTTAGTGCTCACAGTAGCACTGGGAGGACTGCTACACAGATCATCTGACGCCGTCACATTGACGTGGTACAGCTGACCACACCTGAGCCCCGTCACATTACACTGTGAGCCCGTAGACTGGCAGGTGGTGGACAGTCCATTGCTGTCCTGCAAGGTGGCCGTGTAATACTGTCCTCCTGCACCAGGTGTCCATGATACCACTAAAGCATTTGTGACACAATCCACGGTGGGCAGGACATTACTTGGGGTGCAGGGCACTAGAACACAAGAAGCAAGATAAAACTTGAGTGTTAATTAATTCAGTGCCTTTCTTTTACAGTTTTTAAATGAAAAAGACATTCTTCAGCTTTAAAAAGAATCATGATATGAAATAAGAAACAAACCTGCTTGAACTTGAACAGGCGCACTGTTCCCACTGCTGCAGTTGCTGCCTTTTGCCTTCACTGTGATCGTGTAAGACTGTCCGCAGGTCAAAGTTAACAGGTCACAGGAAGTGGATGTTGAGGTGCAGTTAGCTGAAAGGCCATTAGCACTGCTGGCTGTCACTGTGTAAAGCTCCGCCCCTTGACTGCTCCCCCAGGTTACACTTGCTATGTTGCTGCTACAGCTTACACTGGCCAACACATTTTGTGGTACACAAGGACCTGGGTAAATTATAGAAAACAAAATGAGTACATAGTAGACTTATTATTTTAAAGCAGGGGTCTCCAAACTTGGTCCTGGAGGGCCGATGTCCCGCAGAGTTTAGCTCCAACTAGCCTCAACACACCTGCCTGGAAGTTTCTAGTATGCCTACTAAGACATTAATTAGCTGGTTCAGGTGTGTTTAATTAGGGTTGGAGCTAGTACTGCATTCATGCCATGTCATAATTACTATGATTTCGAGATGACAACACGTGACGTTCTACTTGGAGCTGTTCACACCCTTGGGCTCGGAACAATCGCATGCCTAAATATCAATGCCTAAACATAGCACCTAATGAATCTGAGGTGGTCAGGTGGTACAAGTTGTAGCTCTCAGAAAACTCCCAGTTCACAAGTTGTAATTACGAGTTCTGTGAGGACGTGAAAGCTTTTTACAAGTTGGTATCTCGTAATCATGGTAATTACGATATGGCGTGAATGCACCGTAAACTCTGCAGGACACCGGCCCTCCATGACCGAGTTTGGAGACCCCTGTTTTAAAGCAATATTCAGAATTATAGAAAAACAAAATGAGTACATGGTTGACTTATTATTTTAAAGGAATATTAAGAGTCCTGTCCGATTTAATGCTAGGTAAGTTCAGTACTGTATGTTTTACAAAAAAAATTAAAAATGTGGTAATGGAGCTTAAGTTGTATTTAACATGCAGTATTCTTTTTAAACAACATTTCAAATTTCAAATGCTGCATATTTTAATATATTATAAAATGTAACTTGTGATGAAAAGCTGAATTTTCAGCACCTTTACTCCAGTCACACGATCCTTTCAGGTCAAAGTTAACAGGTCACAGGAAGTGGATGTTGAGGTGCAGTTAGCTGAAAGGCCATTAGCACTGCTGGCTGTCACTGTGTAAAGCTCCGCCCCTTGACTGCTCCCCCAGGTTACACTTGCTATGTTGCTGCTACAGCTTACACTGGCCAACACATTTTGTGGTACACAAGGACCTGGGTAAATTATAGAAAACAAAATGAGTACATAGTAGACTTATTATTTTAAAGCAGGGGTCTCCAAACTTGGTCCTGGAGGGCCGATGTCCCGCAGAGTTTAGCTCCAACTAGCCTCAACACACCTGCCTGGAAGTTTCTAGTATGCCTACTAAGACATTAATTAGCTGGTTCAGGTGTGTTTAATTAGGGTTGGAGCTAGTACTGCATTCATGCCATGTCATAATTACTATGATTTCGAGATGACAACACGTGACGTTCTACTTGGAGCTGTTCACACCCTTGGGCTCGGAACAATCGCATGCCTAAATATCAATGCCTAAACATAGCACCTAATGAATCTGAGGTGGTCAGGTGGTACAAGTTGTAGCTCTCAGAAAACTCCCAGTTCACAAGTTGTAATTACGAGTTCTGTGAGGACGTGAAAGCTTTTTACAAGTTGGTATCTCGTAATCATGGTAATTACGATATGGCGTGAATGCACCGTAAACTCTGCAGGACACCGGCCCTCCATGACCGAGTTTGGAGACCCCTGTTTTAAAGCAATATTCAGAATTATAGAAAAACAAAATGAGTACATGGTTGACTTATTATTTTAAAGGAATATTAAGAGTCCTGTCCGATTTAATGCTAGGTAAGTTCAGTACTGTATGTTTTACAAAAAAAATTAAAAATGTGGTAATGGAGCTTAAGTTGTATTTAACATGCAATATTCTTTTTAAGCAACATTTCACATTTCAAATGCTGCATATTTTAATATATTATAAAATTATATAAGTAATTATTATAACTTATTCTTGTGATGAAAAGCTGAATTTTCAGCACCTTTACTCCAGTCACATGATCCTTGGGAAATCATTCTAATATGCTGATTTGGTGCTCATGAAACATTTCGTATTATTCTTATTATTATCAGTGTTGAAAACAGCTGTGCTGCTTAATAATTTTGTGGAAATTACGTTCAAAATAGTATTATTGATTTTTGGTAACATTATAAATCTCTTTACTGTCACTTTAATGTCTGTCAATTTAATTCTTCCTTGCTCAATAAAAGTATTTCTGTCATGACGACTCTCGGAAGGATTGGCATGGTAATGTACATGTTTCATTGGTCCTGCAGATGTACCTCTGTCCATTAGAGCATTCCATTGCCATCATAAAGGACAGAGCTCCATTGCCACTGGACCAGGACACACTTGCTGTGTTGCTGTCACAGTTCATTATGGACTGGATATTCAGTGGAGGGCATGGGGCTGAAGAGAAGAGAAAATAATGGCATTTAAAGGTGAAGGTTACGTATGTCATTTCCGCACCACTGGAGGCACCAATTACATTTTTTAAAAATAACTAGATTTTATTCAGTTTAAAAAAAAAATCTGAACATCAGTATGTTCGGAAAAGCATAAGCTTTCAAATTTTATCAAGAAATACAAACAATAAATGTCGTTTTGATGCTCTATCACAGGGGTCCTCAACTCTGGACCTTGAGATCCACTTTGCTGCAGAGTTTAGCTCCAACCTTAATCAAACACACCTGAACAAGCTAATCAAGGTCTTCAGGATTACTACAAAGTTGCAGGTAGGTGTATTTGATCCAGGTTGGAGCTAATCTCCTCCAGGAAACTGGATCTCGAGGTCCAGAGTTGAGGACCCCTGCTCTGTCATGTGGTGTGACAGATCTTTGTAGCCACCTCTGTTCATGCGTCAAGTTTGAAAGCAATCATGTCTTCCTCTTTACATCAAGTTATAGGCATGATTTAAACAAGAATGATAATCAGAAAGTATGTTGAAAAAAATTGTACAACTTACTAAAATGGGCCAGTGTTTCAAACTGCTAAAAGACGTCAATAAATCAGTTTGCAAACATCATAACATAACGTTAGCTTAGGAAAGTCATTCAGTGTCTATAGCTTGTTAGTTTGCTAGAAAAAACTGTAGAGAAGCATTGTGTGAAACCTGAATACTTGTTAGTGATGGCATAATTACTTTGACAGATTTATTCAAGACAATTTATGTTCATTTAAATGTTTATATTTCAACAAGGAATCTGAGTAGAAACATAATTATGCCTTCAGAAAATTTTATATAAAAACTCTTTATATAAAAATGTGTTTGTTTACAACTCAGTTTTTATTTGAGTGTTGATTATTATATCTGAAAATAAATAGCAACTGAATTTAATAGTTTTAAGCTTTAATATTTTAGTAATGTACCAAGTGAGAGTGTTCCCTGTATAGTTTACAGATTTATTTGAGAGATTTTTTTTCCTTAAGAAAAATAGCATGTACCTGAAATATTTCAAAATGAACTGATATCAAAGAAGCATCTGAATCAAACTGAATTGAGAGCATGTGAATCAGAATCTAATTGCGAAATCTGTGTCAATACTCAGGCCTACAGTCAAGTAGAAATGTCTGCTAGCAACAAACAGTGATTTAGTGAAAAGGGCTTGAGACATTTGTTTAAATTATTTATTTATGATTTATTACAGTTTCTGTCTAAAGAATCTGTATTTTCTTCTTTACAGTGTCTTCAAATGTCTGGACAAACTAGGCTTTGTTACCTGTCTCCCTCTGCAGTGTGTTACTAGCAGCACTGGTGCACTGGCCTTGCGTTGTATTCGCACTGAACGTATACGTCTGTCCACACTGCAGTCCTTCCACCACACATGAACCATTGTTGAAGACACCACATCCCAGCTGTTCACCCTGAGAGCTCACTGCGCTGACCGATAATGCATCTAGACTCAATCCTGACCAGTTCACCACAGCGGACCTTGAGCTACAGTTCAGAGCCACATCGTTCAGAACTGGCACACATGGAGCTGAAAGTCAGGGTAAAGAAAGGTGAAAGGAAACAGATTATTAAATATGAGTTTGAAAAAAATCTTGAGTTTAAGGACATTATAGTAATATTATTTTTTATACAATTTCTGATTCCTAACCTGTAATGAAGGAGTAGTCCTTGCTGGATTTGCTAGTACAGTTGTTTTTGGTAGCAGTGACAGTGACATTGTATTGGCTGCCACATTGCAGGTGGGCAAGAGTGCAGTTGAAGTTTGTCGTGGTACACTCCACACCACTAGAGGGCCCCAATGGGCCAATTGCTGTTGCCGTGTAATGAACCCCTGAAATGCCCAAGGAGCTCCACGACACTAAGACCGTGTTAGTAGAGCAGTCCAAAACCGCAGTGACAAAAGTAGGTGGACAGGGTGCTAAAGAAGAAACAGAAACACATATGCTGAGACTATTATTCTGCATGTCTCCAGTACTAAGCATTTAAGTCTTAAAGTCAACATGAAACTGTATTTGCAAACCGTTTACTTCAGTTTTGTGACATATACTTAAGTTTAAAAAGTGTAGAGCGTGACTTTGATTTGAGGAACAAGGGCTGCAACCACCATGAATATTGAGGGTACAACGTCCCCTCCAAAAATCAGATATGGCCAAAGTGTTCCTCACAATATTTGATATTTCTTGATGCTGCTCTGGTGCACTCCATTATGCACTGTTCTTTTGTCAAATGTTGCTGTTTTAAATTGAAAATATCTCCTTTACGTGATTCATGTAAATCGTAATTAAATGTGATGAGACAAGAAAGATTCATGGAGCCGTTTTCAGCATATTAGAGATACAATTGAGAGTGATTGTGTGCATATTTATTTAGAACGGAAGCTTTCAGCTTTGTCCAAATGCTACTGTACCTGCCGTGACCTGACTGGTCACACTGGCGTTGGAGCTACAGCCGTTGGCTTCTGCAACCACAGTGATATTGTACGTCTGCCCACAGCCAATTGCAGGGATTATGCAGGACTTGGAGGTGGAGTTACACACCAGAGTCTTGTCAGTGGATTTTGCTTGAGCATAGTAGATTTGCGCCCCTTTACTCGACTGCCAGCTAATTTGAACATCACCTGTTCGACAGTCTAAGAGCTGACTGACCACAGACTGAGGAGCACAGGGTGCTGGGAGACAAAGGTAAACAAAGTATTACTTTAGCATGTTTAAAATAATATTCCAAGTTAAAAACAAAGCTTTCTCAACAGAATCTGTGGTGTGCTGTCAAATACAAAATGTGAAGTACTGTCATCAAAGCACTTAACATGAGTTATTCAGTAAAAGTGTTTTTTTTTTCTCCAAATTTCAAATACTTAGAAAATACTTACCAGTATTGATGCGACGCACTTCACTACGTTGCCCAGTGCAGTCCACACTCATAGCTGTGACTGACACATTGTACACCTGACCACACAGCAGGCCGCTGATGTCACAGGAAGTGCTGCTGGAGTTGCAGGTTAGCGTTTGTCCATTATCATCTACTGCTGTTACTGTATAGTATGAAACAAGGCCACTAGATGCTGCCCAGGAAACAGATGCAGTGTCCGACCCACAGGATAATGACACATTGACTTGAGTGGGAACACATGGAGCTGGAAAGGAAAAGATTCATGCACAAAATCATAAGATTTTAGCACCATAGATCATTTGATGCCAGAAAAATCACCAAATTAGGTTTTAATCTAATTGCACTTTGTGTTATTATTTAATGTTATACCCGTGTCTAGAGTGACCAAGGTTTTAGAAGAGGTTGAACAGGTCCGGCCGTATCCTGTAACACTGATGTTATAGTGCTGACCACACGGCAGTGAACTGATGCTGCAGGAGGAGCCGTTGGTGAAGCAGTTGTGCTTTTGGGGGTCCTGGAAAGACTGCAGTATTGCATTGAAACTTAGCGAACCATTGCCTGGTGTCCAAGAAATGAGTGCTGAGTTGGTGCGGCAGTCCAGACTGGCTTGAATGCCAGTGTTGTGGCATGGTGCTGGATCATGACAAAAATGTTAATACATCAAAAAGCAGTATATGTTTTTACATTTACTGAATGGTGCTTGACATGAAAAAACTGCTAAGGTATTGCTGTATGGTTGCTAGGCTGTTCTGGGTGGTTGCTAGGTAGTTTCTTAATAGTTCAGAAAAAACTGAAGCCGGTCTGTTGTTTCAATCACTAATTATCACTAATGAGCTGAGTTCAAGTACCTGAGACGAGAGTGAAAGGCAGGCTAGCCGGGCCCATGCAGACACCATTCATGCCCATGACTGTGATGGAATATTCCTGGCCACACTGCAGGTTTGGGATATCACAGTGTGTAACAGTGTTGTTGCAGGACGTCTTGTACCCTTGGCTGCTTTCCGCCTTTACCAAGTACCAAGTGGCACCAAGTGCACTGTGCCAGGTGATGGAAGCAATGTTGGATGTACAGTTTAGAGCGGCAGCAACATTTGTGGGAATGCAGGGAGCTAGAGAAGAGGAAGTTATATGAAAAAATAGGTTATATATAAAAAGTGTACATATACAGTACTGTTCAAAAGTTTGTGTTAGTTTTTTTTTTTTAGGTTTTTTGAAAGACGTTTCGTATGCTCACCAAGGCTGCGTTTATTTTAACTAAAACCTTAATATTATGACATATTATTACAATTTTAAATAACTGTTTTCTATTTTAATATATTTTTAAAATGTCATTTATTCCTGTGATGTCAAAGCATAATTTTCAGCAGTCATTATTCCAGTCTTCAGTGTCACATGGTCCTTCAGAAATCATTCTTATATGCTGATTTGGTGCGCAAGAAAAAATCCTTATCAATTTTCAAAACAGTTGTTCTGCTCAGTATTTTTGCAGAAACCATGATAAAAATATTTTCAGGATTTTCTTTTTTTGATGAACAGAAAATCAAAAGATAATTTATTTGAAAATTAAATCTTTTGTAACATTATGTCTTTACTGTCACTTTTTATCAAATTAATGTGTTCTTACCGAATAAAATAATTAATTTCTTTAAAAAAAAAAAGATCTTATAAAAAACCAAAACAAATTCTTACTGACCCTAAACCTTTGAATGGTAGTGTATTATTTTTTTATTTGAAATACATGTGGACCCTAAAAAAATGTGGACACTTAAGCTACGTTTAAAAATGAATGAATGTCAATGAATTAAATAGCATAAGTGTTTTGTGGTTTAGCGGGTCATATTCATAGTTAATGTGATGAACTACACCTGTGGTTACTCAGGATATATATGTAGATATATACATAATTGGGTAAAATAAACCAGCAAATGCCACTTGTTTCTATCTAATACACTGAAAATCATACATCTAATGTATTTAAAGGCCAAATTATTTGTGCACATTGTTATGAATCACATATATTAGCAAAAGTTAACATGAGCTGTCACCTGTTACCACCACAGCTTTAGGTTGAGAGCTGCTGTTGCAGGTGGTGTCATCAGCTTGGACAGTCACATTTAGTCTCATCCCACACGGCAGAGAGGTCAGCTGACAGGAGGTTCCCATAGAGTGACAAGAAGCTAAGCGTTGCTGCTGCCCGTCTGTTGCCATTGCTGTGTACCCATTAGCTCCTGCGCTGGCAGCCCATGTCACGTTGGCCGTGTTGGTGTCACACTGGAGCACAGTTGTGATGTTTTGAGGGTCACAGGGAGCTAAAGGAGATACGCAGTCAGTTTCAAAGATCTGTTATTACTGTGTAAACATGCATGCATGCTCACATGACTGTTACCTGACTGTATCTGAATGGGTGTGGATGGCAGACTCCTGCATTGACCATCATTCCTTGTGACTGTGACGTTGTAGTTCATTCCACAGAGCAGGTCTGCGAATGTGCAGTTGTTAGAGCTGGTGCTGCAATTAACTGTGGGTCCATGTTCATCCTGCAGTACTGCTGTGTACAGACTCCCATCCTGAAGGGCCTGCCAGCTTACTATCACGTTGTTCGATGCACAGTCTCTAGTGACCCCCACACTGACTGGAGCACATGGAGCTACAATAGAAAATGTATTAGATTTACTTTGTGTACATCAAAAATGCATTTGTTTTACTTTTATATAAAAGTATAAAAACACAGTAAAACACGGATCAATTAATATATAAAATGATGAATAGATCAATAAAAAGACCATATTATTTGTCTTTTTTGTTTTAATTTTAAAAGTCCTTCCTGTTTATTTTTTGTTACGTTTATGTTATTTTTACCTTTTGAATATCTGGGCAACTTGATTCATCCTCTCTTATTGTTTTATTTTGCATTTTAAAAGTATGTCCCTTTTTCTTCGTCCTTTTTTATTTTTGTTTATTCAACATTTTAAATATCTGGCCACTTTTATTTATCCTTTTTTTTTTTTATCTGGGCCTTTTTATTCATCTTTTATTTTTACCTTATTTGTTATTTTACACTTTAAATATTTTACCTTTTATTTATCCCCTTTTATTTTTTGTTTTACATAATTTTTTATTTTACATTTTAGATGTCCGGTCTCTTTTATTCCTCATTTTAATGTTTTTTTTTTACACAATTTGTATTTTAAAGGGGAGGTCTAATGCTATTTGAAGTGAAGTGTGACGAAGTGACGTGACATGTGGCCAAGTATGGTGACCCATACTCGAAATTAGTGCTCTGCATTTATCCCATCCAAAGTGCACACACACAGCAGTGAACACACACACACACCGTGAACACACACCCGGAGCAGTGGGCAGCCATTTTTTTGCTGCGGCGCCTGGGGAGCAGTTGGGGGTTCGACACCTTGCTCAAGGGCACCTCAGTCGTGGTATTGAAGGTGGGAGAGAGCGCTGTACATTCACTCCCCCCACCTACAATCCCTGCCTGTACGAGACTCGAACCCGCAACCTTTGGGTTACGAGTCCGACTCTCTAACTACTAGGCCACGACTATTTCATGCATTTTGACTTATTTACGCTGTTAAAGAGTTGGATTCCACAACCATTACTCCAGTCTTCAGTGTCACATGATTCTTCAGAAAGGAACATTTATTTAATGTAATAATTATATTTATTAATTTCTTTAAAAAAAATCATACTGACCCCAAACCTTTGAACAGTAGTGTATCATGAAAATGTTTTAAAATGTGCAGGACATACTACAGACCATAGTAGTCTGGGTGCTGAATCCCACAATGCAAAGCACTCGACTTTTTCCAGACAAACTCAACTCATTTGTTTGATTTGCAAAGACATTTTATGCAAAATGAACCTATTTATTTTCACCTGAATGCCACTCACTGAATTAAACCTGCACTGCAAAGTAATCAGGTCATGTGACAAGAAAGTAGCATTGTTTAAAACTTGTAAAAATGTTGCATAATCTGTTTTACATACTATTTCTTAAAAATAGTAAGCAGTATACAGTATATACTGCACATTATGCAGTGAACAGTGAACATAGCAATTCGTTTAGCAGAAAGTCTCTATGGGAACAAGAGTGAGAAGTATAGAGTATATAGACAAGTATATGCATGTATGTGTTTCTATGTACCTGAGTTAGTGTTCACAGTAGCACTGGGAGGACTGCTACACAGATCATCTGACGCCGTCACATTGACGTGGTACAGCTGACCACACCTGAGCCCCGTCACATTACACTGTGAGCCCGTAGACTGGCAGGTGGTGGACAGTCCATTGCTGTCCTGCAAGGTGGCCGTGTAATACTGTCCTCCTGCACCAGGTGTCCATGATACCACTAAAGCATTTGTGACACAATCCACGGTGGGCAGGACATTACTTGGGGTGCAGGGCACTAGAACACAAGAAGCAAGATAAAACTTGAGTGTTAATTCATTCAGTGCCTTTCTTTTACAGTTTTTAAATGAAAAAGACATTCTTCAGCTTTAAAAAGAATCATGATATGAAATAAGAAACAAACCTGCTTGAACTTGAACAGGCGCACTGTTCCCACTGCTGCAGTTGCTGCCTTTTGCCTTCACTGTGATCGTGTAAGACTGTCCGCAGGTCAAAGTTAACAGGTCACAGGAAGTGGATGTTGAGGTGCAGTTAGCTGAAAGGCCATTAGCACTGCTGGCTGTCACTGTGTAAAGCTCCGCCCCTCGACTGCTCCCCCAGGTTACACTTGCTATGTTGCTGCTACAGCTTACACTGGCCAACACGTTTTGTGGTACACAAGGACCTGGGTAAATTATAGAAAACAAAATGAGCACATGGCAGAGTTATTATTTTAAAGCAATATTCAGAGATATAGAAAACAAAATGAGTACATGGTTGACTTATTATTTTAAAGGCATATTCAAAGTCCTGCCCGCTTGAATGCTAGGTAAGTTTAATAGTGTGTTTTGTGTCATTTTTACAAAAAAAAAAAAAAACGTGGTAATGGAGCTTAAGTTGTATTTAACATGCAATATTCTTTTTAAGCAACATTTCACATTTCAAATGCTGCATATTTTAATATATTATAAAATTATATAAGTAATTATTATAACTTATTCTTGTGATGAAAAGCTGAATTTTCAGCACCTTTACTCCAGTCACATGATCCTTGGGAAATCATTCTAATATGCTGATTTGGTGCTCATGAAACATTTCGTATTATTCTTATTATTATCAGTGTTGAAAACAGTTGTGCTGCTGTGGAAATTACGTTCAAAATAGCATTTATTTAAAATAGAGATTTTTGGTAACATTATAAATGTATTTACTGTCACTTTAATGTCTGTCAATTCATCCTTGCTCAATAAAAGTATTAAAAACTTTTGAACGCTAATATTCACCATATTTCAATATAACAGTTTCTCTTACCTGTTATGACAGGTGATCCAGTCCCTTCAGAGCTGTTGCAGGAACGTCCCTCTGCCACTACCTTAACTGTGCATGTTTGTCCGCATGCCATGTTAGTGATGTCACATCCTGTTTCATTGGTCCTGCAGATGTACCTCTGTCCATTAGAGCATTCCATTGCCATCATAAAGGACAGAGCTCCATTGCCACTGGACCAGGACACACTTGTTGTGTTGCTGTCACAGTTCATTATGGACTGGATATTCAGTGGAGGGCATGGGGCTGAAGAGAAGAGAAAATAATGGTATTTAAAGGTGAAGGTTACGCATGTCATTTCCACACCAGTAGAGGCAACAATTACATTTTCAAAAATAACTAGATTTTATTCAGTTTAAAAAAAAACAAACAAAAGTAATCTGAACATGAGTAGTGCTATGGTGTTGCTATATGGCTTCTAGAATGGAAGCTTTCAGCTTTGTCCAAATGCTACTGTACCTGCCGTGACCTGACTGGTCACACTGGCGTTGGAGCTACAGCCGTTGGCTTCTGCAACCACAGTGATATTGTACGTCTGCCCACAGCCAATTGCAGGGATTATGCAGGACTTGGAGGTGGAGTTACACACCAGAGTCTTGTCAGTGGATTTTGCTTGAGCATAGTAGATTTGCGCCCCTTTACTCGACTGCCAGCTAATTTGAACATCACCTGTTCGACAGTCTAAGAGCTGACTGACCACAGACTGAGGAGCACAGGGTGCTGGGAGACAAAGGTAAACAAAGTATTACTTTAGCATGTTTAAAGTAATATTCCAAGTTAAAAACAAAGCTTTCTCAACAGAATCTGTGGTGTGCTGTCAAATACAAAATGTGAAGTACTGTCATCAAAGCACTTAACACGAGTTATCCAGTAAAAGTGTTTTTTTTTCTCCAATTTTCAAATACTTTGAAAATACTTACCAGTATTGATGCGACGCACTTCACTACGTTGCCCAGTGCAGTCCACACTCATAGCTGTGACTGACACATTGTACACCTGACCACACAGCAGGCCGCTGATGTCACAGGAAGTGCTGCTGGAGTTGCAGGTTAGCGTTTGTCCATTATCATCTACTGCTGTTACTGTATAGTATGAAACAAGGCCACTAGATGCTGCCCAGGAAACAGATGCAGTGTCCGACCCACAGGATAATGACACATTGACTTGAGTGGGAACACATGGAGCTGGAAAGGAAAAGATTCATGCACAAAATCATAAGATTTTAGCACCATAGATCATTTGATGCCAGAAAAATCACCAAATTAGGTTTTAATCTAATTGCACTTTGTGTTATTATTTAATGTTATACCCGTGTCTAGAGTGACCAAGGTTTTAGAAGAGGTTGAACAGGTCCGGCCGTATCCTGTAACACTGATGTTATAGTGCTGACCACACGGCAGTGAACTGATGCTGCAGGAGGAGCCGTTGGTGAAGCAGTTGTGCTTTTGGGGGTCCTGGAAAGACTGCAGTATTGCATTGAAACTTAGCGAACCATTGCCTGGTGTCCAAGAAATGAGTGCTGAGTTGGTGCGGCAGTCCAGACTGGCTTGAATGCCAGTGTTGTGGCATGGTGCTGGATCATGACAAAAATGTTAATACATCAAAAAGCAGTATATGTTTTTACATTTACTGAATGGTGCTTGCTATGAAAAAACTGCTAAGGTATTGCTGTATGGTTGATAGGGTGTTCTGGGTGGTTGCTAGAAAGTTTCTTAATAGTTCAGAAAAAACTGAAGCCGGTCTGTTGTTTCAATCACTAATTATCACTAATGAGCTGAGTTCAAGTACCTGAGACGAGAGTGAAAGGCAGGCTAGCCGGGCCCATGCAGACACCATTCATGCCCATGACTGTGATGGAATATTCCTGGCCACACTGCAGGTTTGGGATATCACAGTGTGTAACAGTGTTGTTGCAGGACGTCTTGTACCCTTGGCTGCTTTCCGCCTTTACCAAGTACCAAGTGGCACCAAGTGCACTGTGCCAGGTGATGGAAGCAATGTTGGATGTACAGTTTAGAGCGGCAGCAACATTTGTGGGAATGCAGGGAGCTAGAGAAGAGGAAGTTATATGAAAAAATAGGTTATATATAAAAAGTGTACATATACAGTACTGTTCAAAAGTTTTTTGAAAGACGTTTCGTATGCTCACCAAGGCTGCATTTATTTTAACTAAAACCTTAATATTATGACATATTATTAAAATTTTAAATAACTGTTTTCTATTTTAATATATTTTTAAAATGTCATTTATTCCTGTGATGTCAAAGCATAATTTTTAGCAGCCATTATTCCAGTCTTCAGTGTCACATGATCCTTCAGAAATCATTCTAATATGCTGATTTGGTGTGCAAGGAAACATTCTTATCAATTTTCAAAACAGTTATTCTGCTCAAAATTTTGCAGAAACCATGATACATTTTTTCAAGGTTTTTTTTTTTTTTTTTGATGGTGATGAACAGAAAATTCAAAAGATCATTTATTTGAAATTTAAATCTTTTGTAACCTCATAAATGTCTTTACAGTAATGTGTTCTTACTGAATAAAATAATTAATTTCTTTCCAAAAAACAAAACAATATGATCTTATAAATAATTTAAAAAAAATCTAAACCTTTGAATGGTAGTGTGTTGTTTTTTTTATTTCTTTGTTTGTTTGAAATACATGTGGACCCTAAAAAAATGTGGACACTTAAGCTACGTTTAAAAATGAATGAACGTCAATTAATTAAATGACATAAGTGTTTTGTGGTTTAGCGGGTCATATTCATAGTTAATGTGATGAACAGCCGTGGTTACTTAGTATATATTTATAGATACATAATTGGATAAAACAAACAAGCAAATGCCACTTTTCTATCTAATGCATTGAAATTCATACATCTAATGTATTTAAAGGCCAAATTATTTGTGCACATTGTTATGAATCACATATATTAGCAAAAGTTAACATGAGCTGTCACCTGTTACCACCACAGCTTTTAGATTTACTTTGTGTACATCAGTAATTCATTTGTTTTACTTTTATATAAAAGTTTAAAAACACAGTTCGATTAATATAAAAAATGCTAGATAAAAGATTTTTTAAAAGATAAATATAAAGACCATATTATCCTTCCTGTTTATTTTTTGTTACGTTATTGTTATTTTTACTTTTGAAATATCTGGTCAACTTTATTCATCCTCTCTTATTGTTTTATTTTACTTTTTAAAAGTATGTCCTTTTCCTTCATCCTTTTTTATTTTTGTTTATTTAACTTTTTAAATATCTGGCTACTTTTATTCATCCCATTTTATTTTTTTATTTTAATTATTTGTTATATTACATTTTAAATATCTGGCCTCTTTTATTTATCCTGTTTTATTTTTTATTTTACTTTTTTAACTTTTTTTTTTTATTTTACATTATTCACTATTTTACACTTTAAATATTTTACCTTTTATTCATACCATTTAATTTTTATTTTATATTATTTTACATTTTAAATATCTGGCATCTTTTATTCATCACCTTTTATTTTTTGTTTTTACATAATTTGTAATTTTACATTTTAGATGTCCGGTCTCTTTCATTCCTCATTTGAATGTTTTTTAATTATTATTATTGATTTTTTTTTTTACCCGTCTGCAGGGTGACATGATGACTCTCAGCACTGTTGCATTGCAGGTTAGTTGTCTTGACATTCACATCATACATCTCGCCGCATCTCAGGTTTGGGAATGTGCACTCTGCCGCCATGGCAGCGCAGGTGTGAATTGTACCATCTATATGCTTTGCCGATCCAATGTAGAAGATGGCACCGTTGGCATTGTCCCATGTGAGAGAGGCAGATTCTGAACTACAAGTCTTCACAGCGGACACGTTCTGAGGTATGCAGGGAACTACGGTGGGAGATATAGTGTATAGTATCACCATCTAAAACCATGCCACAGTACTTTTTTTGTAAGTTCATATTCATATGCCAATGTATTTACATTGCAATTGGTATTACCACAGTACCCAGAATCACTCACCTGTCTCTGCCACCTCTCCCAGCACAGGATCAGTAGTACATTCACCATTTGTGGCAACAATCCACACGCTCAGGCTCTCTCCGCAATCCAGATCTGTTAGCGTGCAGCTTGTGTTTGCAGACGTACAGTTGTAGAAATCTTTACGATTACCGCGGGCCTCCACAATGTAGGTCTCGGCTCCTGTGGCCTCATCCCAAGTAATGACGGCACTGCTGATGCTATTACAGTTTGCTATTGTGTAGATGTTCTGCGGTAAACATGGGGCTACATGGGTAAGGAGACAGAGGGGGCCAAAATGAATAATTATATGTAAAACAAGTAACAGTGTTGATGTTGCAATTTGCAAAGTGTCATAATCCAGTTCAATTCAGTTCTAATTTTTTTTCTCTCATCCAATTGTGTTAGTGCTGTTAAATCGATAATATAACTGAATATGAATTGTCTTTTAAATGTATTTTAAACTCCAAAACAAACACACAAACAGAAACAGCTGCAAAATTATGTGTCTCTCATTTTAGTGATTGTGAAATACCAATAGCACCAGTATCCATTTTACAAGTTATAGCTGTATAACAGTGTCATATCATGGAAAATTAAATATTTATCCATTTGTACCAAAATGGATGACTCACCTGTTTTGATCACCACACCGTCTGTGTATCCACTGTTGCAGTCTAGTCCTCCGGAGTAGATGGATCTGACATAGAAGCTGTAGGTTTGACCACAGACGGTGTCGGTGAAATAACAGGAGGTGTCCACAGTGAGGCATTCAGTTACCAGTTGGTCCGAGTCCACAGCTATGGCGAAGTAATAAGCCGTGTTGTTGGTGGAATCCCACGAGAACAAGATGACGTTAGTGGAACACTCACGGTACAGCTTTAGTGCTTTGGGTTGGCAGGGTGCTGTTTGTTTGAGAGATGGGGGAGAGAAATTAATTTGCTGGTGAAATATACAATTCCTTTTTGGTTTAAAGGGACAGTTCACCCAGAAATGAAAATCCTCATCATTTACTTACGGTCATGTTGTTCAAAACCTGTATGACTTACTTTCTTCTGTCGAACACAAAAGAAGATAATTTCAAGAATAACTGCTGTTTTTGTCCATACAATGAAAGTAAATGGGGTCCAAAGTAATGAGTAATGATGACAGAATTTTCATTTTTGGGTGCACTATCCCTTTAAGAGAGACACTGAGAGTAGATAAAAATACAAGCTGAGAAAGATAACCTTAGAGAAGGCAGGTAGATTTACTAACTTAAAGGGGTCATATGATGCGATATCGGCTTTCACTGTGGATGAAGCGGAGTCCAGCCCGGGGTCATCACATTTGGTTGCCACAAGCCCGCCGGACGCTCCTTCGTCGAATCCGCACTCTAGGCCTCCGGCCTCCGCTCACTCAAGGCCGCGGTGTGTGACGCTGTTTCGTTGTGAAAGCGAAACTACTTTGTTTGGCCTTCCAAAAGAGGACACGACTAGAAATCGGTGGTTAAGTTGTATTTACAACACTGTTCCAAAACAGTTCAACTTGGTATCTATCAGATTATGCTAACCAACACTGTATTTATCCTACTGTAAGGGTAGGTTTAGGGTTGGGGTAGGTGTACATGTTAATAAAGCCTCACACCTTATTAATATCATACTGGAAGCAAAATCTGATAGGTAGCACTTTTCGCTATCTAATTATGCTACCATCTACATTTTAATGGGAGGTAGCAAAATCTGACAGGGTAGCACAAATCGTCAGAACACCGGCTGTTCTGACTCACAGACTGTAAGTACGTTTTTTTATATTTAAAGAATTTGCCACTGACGATTCAAACGCGAGTTTTTTGGGCAATGTAGAGTAGCACTTGTTGTTTGTCATTTCTCCGATCACAAATGCAGACATGGTTTTATGTTTACGCGGCGCGATGCAACGCGTAAAAAGACAGTATAAGTCATTATAATCCGTAATTATGTCACCACTGGATGCAACAAATGCCTCGTTTATAATGGGTTATCACAATATGGTAAGGCATCACAATATGGAAAGGGGCATAACATTTCCGTCACACGCTTGAGGTATTCACAATGCACTGGATAGCTGGCCAATCAGAGCACACCTCGCTTTTCAGACCGATGAGCTTTGTAAAAATCGACGCGTTTCAGAAAGGCTGGGCATAGAGGAGAAACAATAATGTACAGTATGTGGAAAATAATGTGTTTTTTGAACCTTAAACCGCATAAACATTTCATTACACCAAATACACAAAATAATGTTCTTTTTAGCAGCATCATATGAACCCTTTAAGGGCTAAGACTGATGCAGGACTCTGCCACCTGATACCGCATGACCTTTCATAAAACCTCAATAGACCATAGAGTTCATTTAATCTACATGACAGTAATTCCTGGGTGTGTTCCTCAACAGACTTGTTACACCATGAGAGGATTTCCTGCTCATCTCCCAGAGCAGGGGTTTTCAACCTTGACATGCGCCCCCCCAAGTTTGTCTAATTTCACTCGCGCTGTCTGAAAGACGGCTTTCTGTGTGTGCGCACACAGAAACAATCTATCACAGTACGCGAGTACCGCATTGAGATCTCTTTCATGCTGTCTTGCACTTGAATAGCTTAAAATCACTTTAATGTTTGATCTGACAAGACTTAAAACACGTGAGAATAATAAACGTTCTTGAGGAAGCTGCACTGGCCCAATCGTTCAGCTAGTTTAGGGGGGCTGAGATGACAGATAGGGGGGCTGAAGCCCACCTAAAAAGCACCACCCCTGGTATAGCATGCGTAATTATACTGAAACCTTATATATAACCAGCTTTCCTGATTCAGTGTGATGGCTGAGCCTGTTTCCGAGAGCACAACACGCCAATCCGTGGTTGGATTATTACCGACACGGCTAACCGTAAATCATCTTCCACTGTCAATAAGCGTGAGCGATAGCCGTGATATCGGAACTTGATCACGCCAACTCTGCCCTAACTGTCGACTGATCAGCAGTGGGACTAATCAGATTGCCCCCTAGTGGATGGCTAAAGATTTGCTAGATTGTATTCATAATTACTCGAGTGTATGCCTCTGAATTAACAGTTTCTCGCTCCCCCCTTAAGTTCTTTCACAAGTTGAAAACCCCTGTCCCAGAGGACTGGATGAGGTGTGAGTGTGACCTTTGAGAAAGGACATCTTTACCTGTCTCGAAGATGTAGCTGCCATCAGAAGTGCTTTCACAGTTAGCGAAGGCTGTGATCCGTACAGAGTATCGTTCTCCACAGACCAGCATCAAGACCTGGCAGGTGGTGTCCGTGGAAGTGCAGTTGAGCGACCGGCCTTGACCATCTGTAATGACGGCATGGTACGACGTGGCACCAAAAACCACATCCCAACTGACCATTGCTGTAGAAGTAAGACAGCTGTACTCCACAGAGATGGAGGAAACTGTTGAAATGGCTGAGATAAACAAGAAGTAATATGTTAGAGTTCTGCATATCCAGATGCTGAAAAGACCAGCATTGATTTCTAGGCTGGTTTTAGTGTTGGTTCTGGACTAGAAGAAAGTCTTGGTTATGCAAGTCTAGAAGCATCCAAAACACATCAAGGCATAAATCTATTGCTTTATGATTTCATTCAAAGGTTTCACTCTGAAATGTTCTGCTTCATCTTGACTTACTGGAAGTTAAGTAGGTGACGTTGATGAACTCTCCTGGTTCCAGGAACATGTTGATGGATGCAACTCCTATTGTGTATGTTGTACACGGCTCCAGGTTTGAGATATTCGCTGCGGTACCAGTGACGTTCTTAAGAACCAGGGGAAATCCCGGCTTGTTATTGGCTATCACTGACACCTGGTAGAGCAGGACTCCTGAAACATTGTTCCATGTTACGCGAGCCATGCTCTGCGTTAACTCTCTTACGGCCACGTTATTTGGTGGCTGCACCACTGTTGAACAAAAATATTTGCTAATTGTCAATTATAGAAAGGCAAGATTTCATTGACAGTATACCAAATCTGCCATAACGAAAATAGCACAAAACTGGAAAGAACCAAGTAGACTTACACGTTCTGATGGTTTTAACAAGGCTCTTGGAGCCAAGTCCTGCAGAATTGGCGGAATAAATGTAACAGCTGTATGAAGTGGCTTGCTGGAGGTTGTCTATCTGTCCACTTAGCGTGGTGAAAGTGAGGTTATGAGTCTCAGGATGGAAAGTTCCATTCACCACCAAAATGTATTTCTCGGCTCCTTGCGCACTGGACCACTCAAACCTGATCGAGCTGCTTGATATTGCCTTCGAATATGTTATTTGCGAGGCGGCAGGAACTGCATATACAAATGAAATGAAATTAATCATTTTAAAAAAATGTCAAAAAATGTGTTAAGATATGTGTGGGTCGACAACTTACTTGTCTGTGCTGTTGTGGAGTTGATGCATGACATATGATTTAACACAAACACTTTAAAAGTCACTAGATGAATTTGTCCTGGTCTTAAGCCTTGGACCAGTCTCTCCGCAATGGATGCAGCGAGTGTAATAGTGACAGGTGCTGTGTTGGTTGAATTCACAACCCTGACATCCAGAGTATAGCTTGTCGCACCTGGGAAAGTGTCCCATTTTACAAGCAGAGACGACGCAGTGGGTGATAATATTGATGTTATGTTACAGTCTGGAGGGAAACAAAAAAATGTTTTGTAAATATCTTCAAGGATCTTTTTGTAAGTCACTTCAAAATTTAATAGTGTGTAATAATACTATATATTTAGTTAAATACATTCCTAAACATTTATTATTTTTGCTCAAATATATATTTTCTAATCTCTATAAATTAAACAAAATTAAATTTACTGAACTGTGATACATAGTTAGTTCTACACTGTATTAATATTCTTAATACCTCTACTTATTACTAAAATAAATAATACAATAAATAGTAAATAAGAATTAAATACTTACTTGCAGTAGTAGCTTCTATTACCTTAGAACAAAGAAGAATGTGAGAGACAACTTAATCATTAGGACTTCAAACATAAAAAATGAACAATAAATCATTAACAGATCTTTTTTTTTTTGGACAGATTAATAAATACCTGTGCTACTGAAAACAGCGTTACAAAGATGAACAGTGTCCCTGGAAGATGCATCTCTGATTAGATGCATAAGGTGCTAATAAGTTAAGATACATACACTTTCTAATACAGAGAGAAATCTGAAATCTTTTGTGGCATGGTGCAAGTATACCTGCACTGTATGAACCAATCAGTGCATCCAAAATGAGGGCAGGTGGATGCCTCTGGGCTAAAGACATCATCCAAGTATCTCTGTGTGTGTGTGTGTGTG